CCCGCGTCTCCTGCATCGGCAGGCGGACTCTCAAGCACTGCGCCACCAGGGAAGCCCTACACATAGTCTTCTTCACTCCCATCTATATTTTCTCGGGAGGATATAGTCTCATATTTACTTCTGGCTAGCTCACTCCATATGTGCTTCATATTCCCTAAGGTCCATGTCTCATGTCTCATGTTTTATGTATATACACATGATCCCATCATGAAGACCCGTCCCCTGCAACATGCCATCTAGGAAGTTTCCTCTCTAAAATAGTTCCCTGGAGGAATGCTTTTATAATGGTTAAAAGACATTTATTTTGAAAAGAATGGAATGAAAACAAAAAAAAAAGATAGTTAAATTATAGATACTGTTTAACTTGTGACATGGTCAAATGGTAATCATTAATTGGTTCTGTTTTATGTCGCTTTTATTACTGCCAATCACAGCCAAGTGATCTAAGGAAACATCGGAGAAAGGTACTGTACACTTCTTTGATCTGATTACTAACTGAACATTGTTTTTTCTGAGATTTAAAATTATATTTCTTCTAACTGAAGCATTTTATAAAAAAAAATATTAAAAGTATTTAAGTGTTTTTGAATTGTTTAAATATGATCATAAGAGTAAATGTCTCAAAATAAAATTGTTTATGCTTTCTAGGGTAACTATTAGACTGTGGGGACTAAAATATCCTGATTTCCCACAGAATTCTTAGATCTCTTTTGGTAGAATTAGATAGTTTACTGTCGATATCTAGAACAACAGTGATGCTTGTTTTAAAATATAGGTTTTACCGTTATTCAGATATATAAGACCAACAAATCAAGAAACAATTGCCAATAAGTGATAGCTTCTTGCTTCTACTTTCCAAGAGCAAGGGACCTGCTTCACTATGCCGGGTCAAGGGGAAGCACCAGGTCAGCAGTCAGAAAGAGTGAGAGGAAAGCATGGGAAGGAATGTTTATTGTGGTTTTTGTAGGAATGGAAAGGCAGGGTAAGCAGGTTTAAGATTGGCTTGTTTGAACAATTTCAGTGGGCTGTAGGGTCTAGGGGCTCTCTCTAGTTGTCAGATACCTGGCCTGGGATGATTAAGACAGAGGAATAGTGCCTCCTGGAAAGTAAGAGCCAGATAGAGAAGAGGATCTGAGGTACTGATGAAGATGATTGGTTTGCATATGGAAGACACACTCCAGGAGCGTAGTTACCTATCTCTAGGAATTAGCTAGCCCTGGGATGGGCATTCTCAGCATGGTCTCAGATACTAGAGCATCACAAATACAGAAAATATAAAAGTAGAATTAATATACTACTTTACTGCTTGGAATGAAGTCAAGAGAATAAATATTGGGTATAGGAAACAAAATGCACCACAGTTCTGATTCACAAAATGACAGCTTGTTAGATGACTGAGAACAGCAGAGCTCAGACTCACAGGATATCAGATGGGACAAATTTCAAAGGTTCAACCTACTATCCAGTACATCAATCTATTTTCAGCATCTTCAAGATGTGGTAGTCAGCCTATGCCCAAATAATTCTGGAACCAGGGAACTTTTTTTTAATTAAGGGAATCCATACTATGCTTACATGGCCTTAGATTGATTGAATTTCTTTTTATTTTCCATTGTCTATCTTCTTTTAGCATCTTCTCCTGGACACTACCAGTTAGTTCTCAGCTGTCAAATTTACCATGCATAATGTTATTACTATCTTTCTTTGACCCCTTCCACCACTTAAAAGGATTATACTGGGAATAAAGGAAGAAATCTGAGCAGATGATGTAAAAGAATTTCAGTGTGTATAAGGAAAAAAAATCATAAAGGAAGGTCCCATGCAGAAATATAGCCTCAGGGAATTCAGGGAATAAAGAGATGATTGGTAAGAAAGGTAGGTCATAAGAAAGAAAACCACAAGCTAAAATTTGTTTTATATATATATATATATATATATATATATATATATATATATCCCTTCCTGTAAGAAGAACACAGTCTTTCTGAGATACAAATGTGTTACAGAATATAATGTGAAATCCCCATTAATTGTACAATAAAACAAGACATTGAAAAAAGATCAGGCATAAACTTTAACTAAATTGTGTTATATATATATATATATATATATATATATATATATATATCTCAGGGTAAGGAGTTATATGCATGATTTAATTTGTACATCAAAAGAACAAATTAAACTAAGTATTATCAGTTCTGTTTTATTGATGAGGAAATTTAGTCTTAGAATAGATAAGTAATTAGCACATGTCATTCAACAAATTAGAGAAACCAAGATTCAAATCCATCTCTGATTATGAAGCTTTTCTCCTTCACTTTGTTTATATAGTGTGAGCTCTAAGCATTATTCAGAGAAATGGTTTGTGTATGATGTTTTTTAAGAGCTGATATTTTGGTAAAGTTGGCCTAGTTTGACTTGCCATGTGGAGAGAGGAGGGCATTTTATAAGAGTGTGTTTCAGGAAAACATCTGAAACAGAAGTAATCAGGCTTCACAGAAGCAATTGTGGAAAACAGTCATGGTTAGATAATGGAATTGTGAAAACTTAAGTACGTATTAGGAAGAGTTTAGAAATATGCTTTATGAGTTTAGATGAGTTTAGATGAGATGTGAGCTTAGAAAGGGTTTTCCGTAGTGTTGACATCATGCTGAAGCAGTTCCTGAAAACAGTTCTGGTGGCACTGTGCTCGTTGAAATGGAGAGAGGAGATCTTATTAAGATGACTGCCTAAGCTGTTAAAAGTAACCTAGGCTTAAATGACAAGAGCCCAGACAAACAATTTCATTAAGTTTCTCCAACACATGAAGTCTTTATCATATATAACACACTTACGCATAATAGCTTAATGTAGAAACTAGCAAGACATGGTATAGACAAAAGATGAGAACACAGCTTTAAACATTTTGTTATAGCCATATTGAGAAATTTCTTCATCAGAACTTCTAGAACCATATATCTTTTAGCTATGCTTTCTACAATCTGTCTCTCTCTCTCTCTCTCTCTCTCTCTCTCTCTCTCTCTCTATATATATATATATATATATATATATATATATTTTAATGCACAATGGTGCTATGAAAAAATGCAGCATTGTTTTTAAAAATATCTTTATTGTACAATTAAGTTGATTGTTGAAAACTCTTACAGTTCTATATATCTATCTCTGACAAAATTTATGGTATCCTGAATTGTTCCAGACTCTGAACTAAATTCTTTAAAGAAATCCCCTCCATCCCATCTGCTTATGGTGCTCTGTATGCCTTTGTCAATTTTCCCATGAGAGGCAATGAAATGAAAAAATTTGCAGAAATTCTGTTCTTACCTTTTATTATTCTCACTTTAAAAAGAAAGCTTTTTTCTTATAAACTGCAACTCTTTTTTTAAACATCTGGGAACACATTTAAATAGCCTAATTTAAAACACTTTATCTGATACAGTTATATTTTGTCAACTTCTCACTTCAAAAATCTCCCACTTAAAACCGTCCATGTTATGATAACCTGACTATGCATATTTTTAGTGAATTAGCTCAAATATGTGTTCAATAACTTTTTGTAAAGCTTTTACATTCTGATATAATCAAATGGATTCCAAGATAGCTGTTTCATAGTCCCTGGATATTGATCTATGGTTTTTACTTACTCTTAAATAATATATTTGTGTAGTGAGTCTATTTCTGTGTGTGTGTGTGTGTGTGTGTGTGTGTGTGTGTGTGTGTGTTAACTGGAGTGTCTTAATTTTTAAATAGTTATGAAATTCATACTCTTTAATAATGTGAATTTATATATGTAATACCTATATGCCCCAAGTTTCTTGTTCTGCTTTTATACTAGAATTACTCAAACAGCCTTGCTTTATTGATTCTCCATTTTCATCAATTTCAGTTGAAATTTAGAAAGAGTTCATCTGATGTATCGTTTTTGCTTCTAGATTGCAGTGGTAGAAGAAGATGGTCGGGAGGATAAAGCAACAATTAAATGTGAAACTTCTCCTCCCCCTACCCCTAGAGCCATCAGGATGACTCACACCCTCCCTTCTTCCTACCACAATGATGCCCGAAGGTATGACTCTCCCAGCACACTGCACATTGTATGTTCTCTTTCCAAAAATATTCCTCCTTCTTTCAGTGTTATCAAACAGACTACTTAAAAATTTATATAAAATTTTTGATTTAAGCTATAATTCTGCTCCCTCTCCACAGTGTCACTTGTGAAAAAACCAAATTTTCATTCTGAGATCAAATTTTCAGTTTTAAATTTAACTGTATATTTATGGTCTTGTTACTAGCCAATATTTATGAGAATAGATTTTCTATTTTTAGTGGATATTTCCTATTAAAATGGAGTCAGACTACAGGAAGGACTTATTAGAATAGTTACAAAAAACTAAAGGATTCTAATACAAGACTATAAATCTAGCTTCTAGTGTAAGGATAATTAAGGTCTGAAAAGTCCATGCTTGTACCCCAATTACTTTTAACAGACAGGTATGTAAATCACCCTATTGGTGCTGCAAGTGCCAGCTATAACAGCTCCTCCTTAGAGAAGAAAAACAAAAAACACATTTGCCGAAATATTAAAAGAAAAGTTTACATGGGGAAATACCCCATTTGTCATAGCAACTCTTCATACTGTCCTTTCCATCTGCCTAAAAAATTGAAGCAGATCTCTATTAATGCCATAAATAAGTCTAAGCATGCAATTTACATCTTAAATGTATGTACTTTCACTGTCATCAATTACAGCATCTCTGAACACTTAACTGATATAACCGAATGTAATGACTTGATCAATACTTTAAGAATCTGTCTTCTAAATAGTATGTGTTTTACAATAAACGGTTTTGAAAACAGAGCTTTCTGTGCCAGCAGACTTTTTTTTCCTGTTTTGTTTATTTTTAATTTCTAATGTGAAAAAAGTTACTCCAGATTCAAAATTTATACTTATTTTACTCTCAAAAAAAAAGAGTGAAATATATTGTAACATATGAAAAGCAGTAGCTTTTGGAGTTTAGAGAATATGAACTCAGATTAATTTGGATGAATAAAGTTAAATAACTCATCACAATATTGTCAAATTAACAGCTGTAAAGGAGGATAACAGTATCATTGAACCTATCCTATTAATACAGTGTCAAATACATTGACCAGGAATGGAACCTAGATCAACTTGCTTGGAAATCATTTCAGCTTATCATGTACCTAAAAGAATACCTGAGAACTGTAAGAAAAAATATACAGTGATCACTAGGGTATATGATTTGTTACTTCAAAATCTCACAGGTGATTTAAAATTCAATGAATTAGTCTCCAAAACTGAGAGAGAGAAAGATAGCTAGAGGAAAATCCAGGAAAACCATGGGCTAGAATAGAGCATAAACTTTATTAGCTATATTTAAATTTCTTGTCATAGATCATTATGTTTAAGATCTAAAAATCAAACTCTGCAAGAAGGAAATAGGTAAAGAGTCAGGGCTAATTTATAGAATTTATAAGTTAATAAAGCAACCTATGTTAATTGATTAGTTTGATATTATATGAAAAATAAGGAAAATATATTTGGGAAAAAAAGAAATTTTTCTAGAGAAAACCTGGAGGCTCAGGGCCCTAAGCCTGAGGAAATCACACTTTAATATGCTTAAGAAAAAACATGGGAAAAAAGGAGAAAATAACATTCAAAGTGTACTTGTTCCTCCTTTCGTACTTTTATCAAGGAATTTAATCTTGTGTACCTTGTGGATGCTACACCAAAGCAAGCAATTTGTCCTCTTTCGTGTTTTACAGTAGTTTAACTGCCTCCCTCGAGGCTGAAAGCCTTGGGCTTGGCAGTGCCAACAGCAGCCAAGACTCTCTTCACAAAGCCCCCAAGAAGAAAGGAATCAAGTCTTCAATAGGTCGTTTGTTTGGTAAAAAAGAAAAAGCTCGACTTGGGCAGCTCCGTAAGTATGCATGTTTGACTTTCCGCTGCCACTCATTTTCCTCACTTCTTAGCATCCATCTGTCTTTCGTTTCATTTCTCATATTTTTATTTTTTTCCTACCTGACAAACTTTCTGTTTTAATCAGCTGTATTTAATCCAATACAGCTGAATAAAGCTTGACAAAAGTTTCAAAGGAAGAATATTGTAAAACTTTCAGTCCTTTTGATTTCTCTGTTAATAACAATACCTAGAATTTATGTAATGTTAACACTGTGATAGACACAAGGACCCTCTGAAGCAAGTGCTATTACTGTCATCCTTATTTATTGATGAGTAAACAACGTATTAGTAATTTGCAGAACTGAGATAGTTGTCCTAGGGCCATGTTTCAAAACCAGCTTAAAACCATTGAGTATACTGCATAGATGTGTATGAGAGCTTAGCTGTGTGAATTTAGAAGCTTTTCTGTTGAAAAAATTAAGAAGCCTACAAAAAATCCAAAAGAATTCTTTTTAGGTCAAAATAAAGCATTATAAAGGGCATAAAATGTAAAAAAAGACAAGGTTTCTTTGTTTTAAACTGTCACAACTTTCCACTAACAAACTCAACAACATGTAGGTGGAGAGATAGAGGGAAGAATCTGGCAATAGAGATTGTGTTAGAATTAATTATTGTTGGTGAGTAATTGAATAAAATAGATCAGTACATTTGAAATGACCCTAGGTAAATATATAAATACATAGATACCTTGTTAATAGATGGAGGGATAGATAGATAGATAGATGGATAGATGGAGAGTCTGAAACAAAAAGAATATGTGAGATGTATTTTCTAAAATGATGATATATACACATGATCTTTTTTTTCTTTGGTGTCTTTCTACATATTTACTTTTTTTCTGAAATCTCTTTTCATCATCTTGGTTATTTATGATTTGCCTCTTCTTTTTCCCTGCTCTTCTCCTTCTATTTAATTTAGAACTAGAGTTAAGTTACAGGGAAAAGGATTTAGCTCCTACCTCTAATAGTAAGTGATGAACAGAATGATACAAAGTTCTTAGCACTCCCTTTGGATTCTGAAATAAAGGAATTATTATTCACAAGTAATGTCCCAACCCCTAGACTTAGTTTCCTTCCCTGGCACCGCAAGAATTTCTGAGAATAATATTCATTTTTGCAGATTTACAACCGTGATATTATTCAAAAATATCTTTCCCCACTTCCACAGCATGAAACCCACACAAAACATCAGAAGCCATAGGAAACCGATGTTTATAACACATGACAGCCAGTTGTGTGATTGAGTGTTACCATCAGGAGAATTAAATCCTCTTTGGGTTTCTCTTTCTCAGGATAGGAACCCCTTAGGATATAAAAAAAAGAAAAGTATTATTGCATAAGGAAAGAAAAGAAAAGTTGATTACTTGGGGGATATAAAATGTACATGCCAAGACATTGTTTTAAAATTTGTTTTATTTTATTTGACAACTATTCATAGTCAAAATCAAGGTATCCAGGATATAATTTAAAGTCTAGAAAAATATAGAACCTTCTAGAAACTTAGCCTTTTTACCCATTTTCAGTGACTGTGTGTCTCTATGTCAGAACAGATGAGAAGGGAATCAATTACAATTAGGTTCTTATCAACTCCATCCAAGTAAGAAAATAGCAATAGCTATTCAAGATCACATTATAGTCCTGAGAAGATTTCTGAGCTCTGAGCAATTTTGTTTTACTCCATAGAACAACCGAGTATAAACAAAGCCAGTGTCAGCAGCATAGTAAGGTCTACAATGCTGATGAGGAAGACAAAGACAAAAATCTATACCTCTGGAGCTATACAGAAGCTACACTAAGGGTGAATCAAAGCTCCTGGAGAAACCAAAAATAAAGGTCTTTATTGAAAATAATACTGAGAAAATAAGAAGAAAACACAGGCACAAGTAGGTTTCAGGAATTCATATCTTTTTCCAGAAGAAATGGTACATGGTACCACTAGTGCTTTGGTTGAGGGATATGGACTCATGTTTACTTGTGTCCTGAAAGATGTACATCCAGGTTGTGAGGGGAGGACCATGAAAACTTACCAAACCCAGGGGCTACCACTTAATGCTGCTGATTCACACATCAGAGGAAATTAGGGAAACATCTCTAGTGATCATGATTTTAATATCTTGATCTAGAAAATTCTGACATGGGAGCACTGTCAATGTTCTTTCTTCTACCAATGAAAATAGAAATAGAAGATAGGAAATGATGGCATGGAAAGTAATATGGTAGAGTGATGATGGTGTCAAAGAACCAAATTTGAAATTTTGGACCATGTCCCAATATTTAGAGCACTTAAAGAGTTTAGCTCATAAATGCAAAGAAATGTAAGTTAACCTGAGAGTAGCTGTGCTAGATGCCTTTAAATGAAATGAGGTGTGGAAGAAGAAAATTTTCTAAATAGAACTATGAAAATGTTCACTTAATTCCATCAGGAATGACAAACAGAAAGGGAGGAATTCTTAGTAATTCACAGAGAAGAATAATTATAAAGAATAATCCTTATATAACAATCTGAAAAGCCAGGGTAATAAAGTGAACTTCAGTTATGATGAGTCAGTCAATGTGACTGCATTGATAACCACTAACCATGTAGAATCAAATTCAATATACATATAATCTATTTTTACAAATGTGTTATAGCAGAGGCAATATAAATGTGGAAACTCCAAAAGTCAAAGGAAGCAACACATTGAAAAGCATTTGAATAAAGCTAAAAATACTTTAAAGATAAAGTATTTTAAAAGATAAAACATATATATGAACCATGCCTCCTTGAAAGTCACAGTTGAACTTGGGGAGAGTGTCCTGGCAGAGGAAATATTCCTTCTATCAGACTTGGGGATCTGGTTTTAGTTTCTCTTTCTCTCCTCTTTCTTCTTTCATTTTCTTTATGTATTACAAGCACCAATGTGAAAAGATGCAAAAACAGGTTCGACAATCTCATTGAGGGACATGGAGACAGCACGGCCAGTAAATACCTCTGCTTACTTCCTAGAGCATACAATAGATTCAGGATGCAATAACACCCTTTAAAGACTTAGCAGCCGAATGACCACAACTTTTCCCCCCTGAGTAATGCATCCAGATGCAATGCATCTCTGATATTTCCATTAATCTTTTTTTTTTTTTTTTTTTTTTTTTTTTTTGCGGTACGCGGGCCTTTCACTGTTGTGGCCTCTCCCGTTGCAGAGCACGGGCTCTGGACGCGCAGGCTCAGCGGCCATGGCTCACGGGCCCAGCTGCTCCGCGGCATGTGGGATCTTCCCAGACCGGGGCAGGAACCCGTGTCCCCTGCATTGGCAGGCGGACTCTCAACCGCTGCGCCACCAGGGAAGCCCTCCATTAATCTTTAAACATGCTCATGTCTAATCTATATTTTAAAGGTCATCATTAATCCTGCCATCTTCCCAAAATATTGACTTATCTTTTCCCTGCCTTTATAATCCAAGCTTAAGTGAGTTGTCCACAACTACTATTTTTACTTCCTCATCTGTCAATCACTTTACAATTTTCCATATCCTGACTTCCACACATAAAATTCTAGGAACAAGTTCAGTTTTAACCAATATGGAAGGAAAGGCTAGATAGTATCAAAGCAATTTGAGGATGGTAACAAACTCACAGCTATATTTATGATAATGTAAACTTAAGTAGTAGATCTGAAATAGGTGACCTCTTCCTAAAAATAGATTCTAAAAAATTTTGGTACAAAAGCTGTATCTAACAAATAATAGATATAAGTGAATGGCATAGACATGTAAGAACAATGTCAAAAAAGCCACCAACCAAAATAAACTGATTATTGGAAAAACTGCCCAGACCAAAAGGGGAATTATAAAATTCTTATTTTTATTATTTTTGTTTAGTAATTTTAAAGTTTAAAGAAAATGAATAAACTGAAGGTGTACCTTACGTGAACAAGATATAAAAATAAGTGGACCTATTCCAAAACTCACATTTTTGCCTCTATCTGCTTACTTGAAAAGCACGACTTCATCCAGAAAAGAGGCACTAACAAGAGGACACTGAAGCCCAAGAGAGTTGATAACTTGAGGAGTGGGACAGGGGGAATGCTGATAATCCAAAGTCATTTATTTATTCCTACTCTGAGTGAATAGCATATGTTGAACCAATGTGAAGTATAGAGTACCAACCATGGACTTTAGGAAAATGGTTAAAGCATGGCATTGGCATCAAAGAACATTCAATTTAGTGAGACAGATAGTACATAAACATGGACAACCTTTCATTTAAAACAAATCAAAAACTTGAATATATTTCTGGCCCAAAAAAGTTTTACCTGCTACATTGTCTGTCCTGTCAAGGCAACCATGAACAGGAGTTCTGAACCTCGAGATCCATGGTTAGGCATCAGTAATTGGAATCTTGACTGGCTTGACTTTTAATTTTATCTGAAGGCATCAACCTGTTTTGAAACAAAGCAAATTAAATTGTGTTTAAAATAGGCATATCAGATGAAGCTCGTTTGTTTCTTTGACAAAGTTACTTGGTAACAGAACAGGAAAGGCATTTGGGTGAGCTGTAACTCATGACAGCCCTGTAGACAAGATGTCAGAATGGGGCCTGGGTGATGGAAAAATTTGGTGGGATTTATAACTGGTTGCATAGGCCTCCTTTATATTGATGATAAGTGGAATGATGCCACCTTGGATCCAGGTTTCTAGTGACAAGATTAGGATTCACCCTGTTCTTGATCCTCACATCCCCCAATCACTTGGACGTGAATATTTCGACAGCCCAGTAATCTGATTTATGGATCACTGATAGGG